GGTGTGTTTACAAGCTTGGGAAACCTCACTATATATAGGCCTAAGGAAGCTGAAAATCTGAATTAAGTATGGCTCTGTGTTTGCTAGGTAACAGACTCCATATTTATCCAATGGGGCTGAATTTTGGATATGTTATATTACACACCCATTGGAACAACTTTCATGAAGAATGTGGCCTCATCCGAGCTATGTAGGTTGCTGAAACAAAGCTTGCAATATGACCTACGAAACTGGGCTGGCAGGGGACTGTAGCCAAAATTGAGTTTGTCTTTAAGCTCTTCATCCATTCATCCAAATTAGGCCCTAACATGCATGGATTGCATCATTTACTATCCAAAGCCCTCATTATTACCTAAAGCTCAATGAACTGAAAGATAAACACAAAAAGGATTAAAAGCACAAGTTTAACTCAAAAACATAACCAAATCATAAGCTAGAAGGGTACAAAATGATATGTAAATATGCACCGATCAAGACTCGAGAAGAAGTTTCGCCTGTCAGAATCTGAAAGAGATGAATTGGAACATCTCAACGCATTTCTGACCCATTCATCCTCTGTGAAGAATGAAATGTGGATTAAATTCAACGCTGAACTTCAGTGACTCATGCAGTCCAACAGGATAACTATAACTCAACATCTGAGTGAGCCTTCATCGTCTGAGGATTTGGAGGTGGTCAATTTTGTTTTGAGATATGTGACGATCACATCTGACCTAAGAAAAGATATCCCGCTTCCACTTGCACACCCAACGAGACCCGAAAGTTGGGAGAAGTGGGGGAAGAGGACACTCCAAAGTTGGTGACCCATTCATCCTTTGTGAAGAATGAAATTGTTGGCTGCGCAAATCTCACGCCCTGGAGCTCCGGGCCGAGGGGATATGCGTTAACACGTGGCTTCCTTCTTTTGGATGCGGTGCGGTTGTGCGCGGGCGTGCCAGCACGGTCTACCGTGCGTCGAGATGGTGATGTAGATGAGATGGTTAAGTGGTGCGCCTGTTTGGGTTCGACTTCTGATCAAACGATTGTGGCCGAGAGAGGAACTGATCTCGGCCGTCAGGTTCACGGCCTGAGCTACAAGGCTGTTTAATGGTGGTGTTGATGGTGAATTTTGGGCGTTGCTCCAGCGCGTTGCTCAGGGAGCGACGGTCGTATGATATATGGGATGAATGAAAGAGTAACAGAGATGGTGCTCCGGCGCCTTGAAAATCAAGGGTCGTATGATATATTGATGAACGAATTTTCCTTACAAACTAACACTACTCCTAGGAAAGCAAGTAAAGATATTGAAAGTGCATTACAGGAAAATATAATTTGCTCCGTGGGAGGCTTTGGTTTGGTGTTTGAACCCTTTGAATGTAACTTCAACTTGGTATTTATAGGAGGAGCTCTTGGAGGAGTAATCGAGGCTGAAAATCTGCATGGTGGAGCCTGATAAGAGCAAGTGGGTAGTCCAATCGACATTTGGGATCGTGAAGCATGGTGGTGTGACCCCATGAATCCTGGTAAATCTCGGCCGCCGCCCTGATCGTGGGTTCTGCGCTTCTGGCCGTGGGGACGCATTTAATGCCCTTGTTTGGTGGTTGGTGATCTGACTTTAATTTGTAAGAATATTGGTAAGTATGTTTGCCCCTAACTACTCGGATTTCTGTCACCAAATCCTGACTTCAGTCACTTCCCATCTTCCCTCGTGCATTAAATGCCCTTTTGCGGCTAGTGGGTTTGCTAGTCAGAGGCGTTACTTCATTAAATGAAGCGTGGGACCCTGCTGCCATGTGACGATTTGACTCTTAATATCTTCGGCCTGACGATACCGTGGTTGTAAGGCCTAGATGACTATGCCTTCACAACTTTTTCTTTGTTTTGAGGAAGGCAAAAGCGCCGCGTTTTGGATCGCGAATAAGTGCTGAGGCCGAGGGGGGAAAACCCATTCGATCAGTGTTCGACCGTGATTTATCAGGCACAAATATTGCCCCCACATCCCCGGATTCTTCGGTCTCGACGTGGGCAGAGGCTGAATGGATTCCAAGGGATAGACCCTTTGCATTCCTTCTGAAGTGATTGACAACTGGTGCATTAAATGCGCAGGACAGTCGGCACATTTAATGCCCAAGCACGTCTTGGAGGCCATCATTGCCCAGACTTACGCGAGGCGTCGCTTCGCCTCGTCAAATGAAACAACGGCCTCTGGGCTTCTGACACGTCATCGCGCTTTCGATTTGTGCGAGCCATCATTTTATCTCGCCAATCGAAACGTCGGCCCCCAGGTTTCAGACACATCTTCGCGTGCTACGAGTGCGTTGTCAGGCCGTTTCTTCTTTCGAGAATCACACCTCCTGTTTTGAATTCCAGCGCTAGTATAAAAACCCTTCCTTCCTTCATTTTTCTTCACGCCTTCAAAATCCTTAAGTCCATGCTCCTCGAAAGTTCACTCTAAACTCCCTAGTTTTTCTCAGCCCTCTCTCTCTGATTCTGAAACTCTCCTCTTGCTTAGTGATT